AACGCCGTTCTCTCCATCCTCCCACCACCACCTACCGCCTCCTCCCTCCCCCTCCTTCCCTATCGGCGTCGTGACGCTGCTGTGAACGGCAGCAGCGCGTGACGCTTTGTCCCGTCCTCTCTCTCTCTCTCTCTCTCTCTCTCTCATCTTATCTTCTTTCTCCCGGCACTCACGTCGCCGCCACAGCGAATCGCGAGGACAAACAGCAGCGAATCAGTGGGCAAAAACTCGAGGATGAGCACGGAGCACCACACCAGAATACACACGATATGGAATGGCTGGCGACAGAACTTGGACGGTGCTTCTGCCGGTGGTAACTCCAGTTTCTCGTCGTCTTCTTCTCGTTCTATTCTCTGTCTTCTGCTGTTATCGGTCGTTGGAATTTTTTTTTTTTTTTTTGTACGTAAGGCAGGTTGTGTAGTGGTGGGCGGAAGCTGTTTGTGGGCCAGATTGTGGTTTATTGAAAGGTGCCGCCTAATTACAGGATGATGCTGTCGAGGGTCAATATTTGTATTCAGTGGTCTGCGACGGGGTGGAGGTGGTGCTGATGGTGCAGATGTATGTGACCCACTGATTGTGGTGGGCAGTGGATCTAGTAGCAGCGTTACGAAGATGGGGTCTGGTTTTGGAAAATGTCGCAGATCTGGAGATGTATGGTTGTGGAGGTGGTGGATCTGTGGTGGTATGTTTTGGGTGGTGGTGGTGGATCTGTGGTGGCGGTCGTGTGGTGGTGATCATTTTTTGTAATTGTTGTGGCGGGGTCAACGGCGGTAGTAGTTCTTTTTGGTATCTGTGACCTAACTATTGAATTGTGACTTTAAAATTGATAATTTGTAACTAAAAAAAAAAAAGAACTGTGACCAATAAATTTGAAAATACGTGATCTGTGACCTATAAAATTTTAGATTTGTGACATCGAAATAATCCATGACCTACAAAATTCTTGATCTGTGATCGGAGAACAATCGTCGGAGTGGTCGCCGGAGCAGTAGGGGAGGTGGAGGTGGAGGTGGGTAGGTTAATTATATTATATTACTGTTAAATATTTAATTTAATATAATAATGGTGAAATATAATTAATTAATTCATGAAAAACTTAATTTTTGCAATTCTAAACCTTGTGGCCTGATTTTTTATTTTGTGATAGATAAAACCTGAGTTGTGAATTTGTTTTCCCTAAAATAAACACTGGATTTTAGTCCATATATAGGTTTAGAGGAAATTACATGGTTCCAGGTCTTTGAAGATTGAAATTCAAAAATCAGGGACCAAATTTTATTATTTAAATATCAGGTACTATATAAACTCTAACCCTAATTTATCACTCACTCACAACTCCCTCACCTCTCTCTCTATCTCGCGTTCCTCTCCCCTCTCTGTGGATCTACTGCCGATCTCTCCCCAAAAATTATTCGAACCTTAAATTGAGAATTCCCCAAGGTAGTGGAGGTGTGCAGGCAGTGGCGGTCGCGAAGGTGGTGGTTGTGCAGGCGATGGTTGAGTGACCGTCAAACTCTCCCCAATTTTATTCGAAACCCTAAATCGAGATTCCCCAAGGTGGTGGCAATGTGCAGGCGATGGTGGCGGTCGCGATGGTGGTGGTCGTGCAGGCGATGACT